CCCCTGCCCGGGCACTTCCCCGGGGCCGGCGGCACGGCGCTCTCCGGGAGGCACAGCCCAGCCCCCGCCGCCGCCAACTCGGGAGTGCCTGGCACTGCCGTGCCCCCGGCGCCGAGCCCTGCTAGCGTGCTCGCCCCCGCCTGATGTGTGGCGCCCAGCCCCTGCCCCAGCTCCATCCTCTCCCGGCCGGGCTGCGGCAGCGGCAGAGGTCACCCCCCACCCGCCGCCCGGGGACGGCTGTGCCCGAGCTCCCGGGACCCGGGCGATGCCTCGGAAGGTGCTGACGCAGGTTTCATTTTGCGCCAGCGCAGCCTCTTCCTCAACCGAGGGGAATTCAATTCAACCGTGGAACTTGTCTTGTTGGAGCAGCCCCGACCGCCTATTATTTATTGCCTGAAGTTCGCTCTTGTTCAGCTTGGAGCCTGCCGTGAGTTGCCCGTGAAAGCTGGGAGCGGCTGCAGCCAACCGAGCTCGACACCCACCCCCTGCCCGAGAACCGCCCGCACAGACACACCGCGCGTGACACGCACACGCGGGACTCGTGCGCTTGGGTCACTTGGCCGCAATCCTCTGGCTGACAGAAAAGCCTTTCGGGATGTTCCTGCTGGTGTTGGTCACACGAGGAGTCCCGACACTCCACACAGCTCAACCCGAAGGAGTCCCCTACCGAGAACATAGGCACTGACACACCCACGCGGGACATCTCCACGGAAAGCCTCCTGGAGACCAGCACTGACCGCCCGCCGACTATTCGGAGGCCTTACATGGGCTATGTCCAAATGAAGACAGGCAAAAACATGCTCTTGCGTCAATGAGCAGTTAGCCAGGCAAACACCCAGGCATGCAAGCAAGCCGGCGAATTCAGTTTGGCATCTCCCCGAACAAAACTGCATCTGAAATACAACTTCATTCACGCAGCTTTGCGTCCGGAGCAGCATCAACCTCCACTCCACAAATGGACTGTTCAGTAGTAATGAACTTGTCATCTACAGCCGGACGACCCTTGATTACCTTTAGCAACAACAGCTATTTTCCATACGAGCACTATGACTGTGCTTCCACTTCACCATGTCCACATAAGGTAGCAGTAACTCGTAGGAAGTCTAGCATTTCCCTCCAAGAAGGCACACGGAGCCCTGATCTCCTCGCATCACACATTGCAGCAAGGACAGAACTGAATAATGGCAGCAGAGTGTAACGTAAATAAATAAATACGTACATCTCACTCCCTAAAATCAGCTTCCTAAAACTGACTGGCTGGAGGACCCAATCAGCCTCCTTAAAATAAACTGAAAGGTTAATTGGTAGGCGTCGCCACGACCTGGTGTGCAGGTCAAGAGTTTGTATCTCTGGCAAGAAACTACTCCTAAAGTCTCTCTTAAGTGTACGGGGTGTGTTGTCAATAGTTCCGCCAACTACTTGTACTGGATTATATTTCCTGAGCCTCTCTTGGCTTTAGGGGTCCTGTTAAAAAAAAAAAAAGGAGAGAAAAAGACTACCATCTACTACAAACTACTGAATATTGTAAGTGGAGCTGGGTGTGTGCGTCTGATTTTCCCTAACCTCTGTAGGGAAGGGGGGTTGTGCTGCTCATCTCCTAGACATTGGGAAATGGGGATTTTCCCTTTTATTAAAAATTGATTTTTCTACTTACTTGCCTCTTTCCAAACATTTACAGTAAATAGCTGGGGAAGCTGCGAGTTCTGTATTGTCAAGGCCATGCAATTACACAAACACGTACGATCAGCTTTCTAGTGCCAGCCCTGAACACCACAAGGAGCAGATCCGTGACACCTCAGAGGCTTTACAAAGCCTCTAAAGTGAATTCTCCCCTCCCGAGATCAGAACAAAACCAGCAGCTCCAGAGCAGGCAGAAACACTCGCAAACCCCACGGCGCCCTGCACTCGCATCATCATCGCCTCAAAGCCAGCTGCAACCCGCACAGCCCCATTTTCCAGAACCACAGTCAAAGCAGTGTCTCTGCAGAAAAGTTAGTTCCCAACTTTGGTCCCCCCTGCCCTGCCCCAACAGGTAGAAGCCTAAAAGCCCCAGCATTTGAAGCACAAATGTAAAAGGAGACATTGGAAACAACTGGGAACCGCCATCTTACACACCACCAAATTTCACACAAGTGTTTGTCCAACTTAAGTTAATAACATTTCCTTTGAGGTCCCCCGCGGTCTAACAAGCCCTCCAGCGGGATCGCTACCCCCCACTGGCCCCATCTCTATAAAATGAGTGCAGTATCTGGCATTTTAAGCCTCCCCAGATACATTTATTTCGGAGAGGACTGAAATCCCTTGACCCAGGCAGCTCCAGATTTCATGAACGTCCCTGTTTAATCAAAATCTGCCTTTAAACAAAGGGCGCTGAGGCCGGGATGGCAGCAGGGGCTGGAAATATAAATATTCTCCTTGGGGGCCATGTGCACAGAAACATTTTAGGAGGCATCTGGAGAAAGAAAGGAACTAAAATTTGCAAATGTGGGTGCGTAACGAAAGCGAGTGCACAGGCTGCTGCTGCTGCTGCTCTGTGTCTATATGTGTGTGTGTGTGTGGTTGGAGCAGACTGTCAGCGCTTTTCCCATACGGAGAGCTGGGGGGACACCTAGGCTCCCCTTTGCAGCCCCCAAACCGGCCTAAAACCGCCGCCAAGCCCCCTCCACCCCCCGCCCTTGGTAAGGAGACACCTCGCTTTATACATACCCGGAAAAAGGAGCCGGTGGGTGATGATCGGAGCGGCCAAAAAAGACAATGAAAGTTAAAAGTCGTTCAGCAGAAAATGAATGTGAGCCAAGCGGCCATCTTGAAATGAACTGCAGACGCTGTCAATTGCAATAAGCTTATTGCTGCTGCTGCTGCTGCACTCTGCTCATTTTAGTTACAAAACACCCGGGTTCGCTCCTCGCTGCCACCGACCCTTCTCACTCCCTCTCTCTCCCTCTGAGTTTGCGTTTTGGGTGGCTTAGGAGCTGGGAGCGGAAAGTCTCTCTAATCCGGATGGGCTCTCCACCAGCCCATTGTCTCCCCCTCGTCCCCCTGCTCTGCCTCTTGGTCTCTGTTTTATTATTATTATTTCATAGTTGTTGGTGGGGGAACGGGGG